GCGACCAGGACGAAAACCGCATTGTTCCTCCTGTATCCGAGGTTCGACTAACGGACGAACTCTCCTTTCCAGCACCCTGGCATAGACTTTCCCAGGGAGGCTGAGGAGTGTGATCCCCCTGTAGTTGGAACACACCCTCCGGTCCCCCTTCTTAAAGATGGGGACCACCACCCCGGTCTGCCAGTTCACAGGTACTGCCCCTGATCTCCACGCAACATTGCAGAGGCGTGTCAACCAGGACAGCCCTACAACGTCCAGAGCCTTCAGGAACTCGGGGCGGACCTCATCAACACCAGGGGCTCTGCCACCAAGGAGTTGTTTAACTGCCTCAGTGACCTCGCCCCCGGAAATTGGCGGGTCATTCCCCTCATCCCCAGACTCTGCTTCCTCCTCGGAAGACGTGTCAGTGGGATTAAGGAGGTCCTCGAAGTATTCCTTCCACCGCCTGACAATTTTCTCAGTCGACGTCAGCAGCGCTCTGCCAGCACTATACACAGTGCAGGTAGAGCACCGCTTTCCCCTCCTGAGACGTCTGACGGTTTGCCAGAATCTCTTCGAGGCAGTCCGAAAGTCTTTTTCCATGGCCTCTCCGAACTCCTCCCACACCCGAGTTTTTGCTTCAGCCACTGCCCGAGCCGCATTCCGCTTGGCCTGTCGATACCTGTCGGCTGCCTCCGGAGTCCCACAGGCTAACCAAGCCCGATAGGACTCCTTCTTCAGCCTGGTGGCTCCCTTCACCTCTGGTGTCCACCATTTGGTTCGGGGATTACCACCACGGCAGGCATCAACCACCTTGCGGCCGCAGCTCAATGCAGCAGCTTCGGCAATGGAGACGCTGAACATGGTCCATTCGGACTCAATGTCCCCAGTCTCCCTCGGAATGCTGTTGAAGCTCTGCCGGAGGTGTGCGTTGAAGATCTCGCGGACTGGAGCCTCTGCTAGACGTTCCCAGCACACCCTCACTACGCGTTTAGGTGCACCAGGTCTGTCCAGCGTCCTCCCCCGCCACCTGATCCAACTCACCACCAGGTGGTGATCAGTTGACAGCTCAGCCCCTCTCTTTACCCGAGTGTCCAGAACATATGGTCGCAGGTCTGCTGATATGATTACAAAATCGATCATCGACCTACGGCCTAGAGCGTCCTGGTGCCACGTGCACTTATGGACACTCTTATGTTCGAACAGGGTGTTCGTTATGGCGGTTAGCACAGAAGTCCAATAACAAAGCACTGCTCGGGTTCAGATCAGGGAGGCCGTTCCTCCCAATCATGCCCCTCCAGGTCTCGCTGTCGTTACCCACGTGAGCATTGAAGTCTCCCAGCAGGACAACAGAGTCTCCAGGTGGTAATGGTAATAATGAACTTTATTTATAAAGCACACTAACAAACCAAGGGTATACCAAGGTGCTTGACAAAATAAGGAGATGGAGATGGGAGGGAAAAGGGAAAGAGAAAGGACCTGGCATTTATCAATTATAAAACCATGACAATCATAATACATAAAAGTAGTTAACAAAGCATAAAGGATAAAAATGTATCAGCACACAGCAGATATTATCTAGGTGGAAAAGCAAGATCAAATAAATAAGTCTTTAACCGTGATTTACACAATGGCATAGAGTCAGATGCCCGGATAGCAACAGAAGGATTGTTCCATAAGACTGGAGCAGCTACACAAACGCACGGTCGCGTCAGCCGAGAACGAGGTTGCTCCAGAAGAAATTGGGTAGCAGATCTAAGTGCTCTGACAGGAGTGTGTAACTGAAGTGTGCTTGAATTGTGTCTTAATTCCACCTACTTCACATACAAGGGTCAGTACTACAGGCAGAAACATGGGCTCCCCAGTTTCACCCATCGTGGCCAATTTGTACATGGAAGAAGTGGAAAAGAGGGCGTAAAAATAGTTTTGGCTTCTCTTCATTGGTTGCCAGTAAACTTTAAGTTTAATTTTAAAATGTGAGTTTAAACTTTTGGATGTCTACATGGCGAAAGTCCCCAGTATATCTTTGACCAGTTGAAACCTCATGCTGCTTCCCCAGCACTTAGGTCTTTAGGACAGAAGTTACAGTTGGTGGGGATCGGACTTTTCAGGCACCAAGGCTGTGGAACTCTCTTCTGTTGTCTTTACGCTGTGTCATCTCCATTGACTCCTTTAAAAAGCAGAAAGACATTTCTCTACATATGAGCTTTTAATTAACTTTTTCCTTTGGTTTATAATATTGTATATTATTTTAGTTATATTTCTGGTTTTATTGTGAAGGACTTTGTGATTTTTGTCTATGAAAAGTGCGAAATAAATAAATTTTACTTACTTACTTGCTATCCTACCCTGGAACAACAGCAAGTCATTGGTTCAGGTATGTGGATGGCACCTGGGTGAAAATCAAATCTCAGGAAGTTCCACAATTCACGGATCACATTAACTCAGTGGACCGACACATGAAATTCACCAGGGAGGATATGTGGAAGCCGCTGGTGGTGGAGCAGGTGTGGGCTGAACAGACTCCTCAGACCCTCCAGGATCGTGACACCCTGTCCCCTAGCAGAGGGGGCCGTAACATCCTTGAAAACGGCCTTTTTATATAATTCTGAAATGTACATTATTTTTCAGTTTTGGATAACCTTACCTTTTTTTAGCCTCTGTCAGTTCACCACTTACCTTTGTACCATTTCAACTATTCATTGGACTTGAACGACTGGAATTGTAATAAATAACTGGAATAATTGAATTGTTCTAAAACCGGTAGAATTTTATGCATCCTTATTTTGTCAACTTGCTGATGTGGACTGTACCAATACAATTCTCAGGGGTGATTTCAACTGTTTATTATGCCCTATATTGGATAGGTATCCATCACAGGTAGCTCAGTCCAAACATGTTAATGCGCTTTTAAATACAACAAAGGAGTTTGATCTCTTGGCTGTATGTAGGCAACATAATCCCCTTGAACAGCAGCACACATTACATTGTCCGCCACATCTGTCAGTGTTCCAGACTGATTATATATTTGTATATATCTGACAAATAAACCCAACTGCCTATTAGCACAGCTATCAAGGAATGCTCTGGTAAAATCCTTTATTCCAGCCATAGTGGATGAGAATAGTCATCCACTATGATATCTATGGAAAAGTTAATTTATTTAAGAAATAAAAAAACTTTTCCACAGATACCAGAGAATCAAGTTACTATTTTAGAATCTCCCATATAAGTGGACGAGATTGTTTCAGCACTTCAGTCAGGGAAATCTTTACTTCCTCAACTTGTTTCCAAGTTGCTTCCAAAGCACAATGTAATGACTTGCAAGTCATGGAAGAATTAAAACTGCTGGTGCAAACATTACACTAATAGCCATGAAAATAAGAACACTGCTCTTCCTTTTAGTCAATGAACCTTTTAGTCTAGTGACTCTACAACTGCCAAAGGTTAAGAGTGGGTGGGGCCTACCAAATTTAGACATGTTGGTTATTCAGGCCTGAACTCTCTCCTCCTGGGTGAGAGGTGGATGCAGTGCTGTGAAAACCCTTTCCCTCAATAAATTTCATAGGGAAACACCACCTCCTGTTAAAGGCAGTTTCCTGAATAAAAATGTGTTATGAGCATGGGGCAAACTAAGGACAATGTCTGAAAGTAGCTCAGTTAATATTCTTGTAACATTAGATGACCCAGAACTGTCATTGCAAAGTGTAGGATCAAACTTTACAAGTTGGCAAAGAGCAGGCATAAAAAGAATATATAATCTTTTTGATAACGGAAGCTTTAAAACACCCTGAAGTCTCAACATCACCTTTCAAGTAATGATTTCTATAAATACCTACAAATAATGTTCTTCTGAAAGCTGGCTCATGAGGACATTTCCACCAGAAACAGTCTGCTGGAAAGGTTTTTCTCTGAACCACAGAAAGCACAAACACTTTGTGACAAAGTTTTATTCTGACATATGTAGTTTGAACTTGGATAAACTTGAATGATGTTTGGGACAAAATGTTGCTGCTGCCCTTCAGAATCTCAATATGTAATAGATATAAAGAGTTACAAAATAACATACTGCATAATCTTTATATTTCACCATATATTTACAGTAAGGATAAAACCAAACTGTCCTAAATGTTAGACTACAGTTGGAAGAAGGCTCCATTGTTTGTGGGAATCATTCTGACTTTCTGAAGAACAGTTTGTGCAAACATCAGTAAAACAATCACTCTCATTGCCTGTTTATGCCCTGTCCTTATCTTCAATGTCCTGCTGCTCTGTTGCATCTTAATTGCCCCTTGGGTATAAATAAAGTCTTTCAGATTCTGATAATGAGTAAACAGTGCCAGCAGATCCACTACTTTGTTTGCTTTGAAATGTTCCTGACTCTTTAATACAACACAAAGAAGTCATTCACACAAATGCTGGCAAGAAAAGTATTTTGATTAAGTGGGTCAGACATGAACCTCAGTCTATCTCCAACAATCATAAAGGTTTTTATGTCAATAAAATAAGGATATTATGTTGATATTTTCTGCAGAAATGGATGAAACCAGTGAAGTTCTGAGACTGAACTGTAACTTGGACTCACAAATATTTTGTAATGACCGAATAAAAGGTTGGATCCATGTGGGAAGGAGCTTTCTTCACTTTATTTTGGCCTGAAAACTGAAGGCTCTGCCTCCCATTCTACTTTTAAATACTCTAGGAACAATAAGTAGGCCTGCAGAGCGAGAGTGAAGTGCTCTAATAGGGTGATATGGTACTACAAGGTCATTAAGATAAGATGGGGCCTGATTATTTAAGACCTTGCATGTGAGGAGCAGGATTTTGAATTCACTTCTGGATTATATCAAATCTAACTTGATATCTGAGACTCGTGTATAAGTCAATTCTTTTTTTCAACTAAGAGATTAGTCATGAGCACTAAATCTAAAAAATTTACTTTAAGCTCTGACTTTATGAAGCTAAAGGGAACCAGTGGTTTGTTGGGATGTGCTGAGCTTTCTTCTGTTCCTGCTCCTGTGCGTGGGGTGTCCTGTTTCCAGCTCCGGGCAGGACTATCGGCTGATGTTGTTCCTGGAGGAAAGCCCGGCCCTCGTAGGACGAAGCATTTGGTGATGGCAGATACAGTCGGGCCATCGCTGCAGAGGAAAGGAGACCATCTAGCCAATCAAGATACCTGCCTTGCAGCTGTCAGGGGTGAGATGCAAACCAAGTTTAATGTTATTGGGAGTTTACTGGTATACTACGTATGATATTCTGATACCAGACTGACCTTTGTCATCCTTGTAGCACTGAGACAGATCATACAGACCAGTGGGACGCTACTGAAGGACAACATTCACAAGGTAAATGTGATTTAAAGTAACATAAGCGCTACAAAAGAGTGCCCAGCAGAGGGAGACACTTTCTACAGGCGTCTCCAACCATCCACAGATCAGCCTCTGCTGCAGCGAGTGGCACCGAGCCGCCCGCTTTGGAAGAAGATCCGTGTTTAAGCAGACGTGATGTTTGCAGTTCTTTAAGCAACGATTTCCTCCACCCACAGTGCATTTCTAATGATCCACACGAAATATCCCAACGTGTTCTAATATGTTCTTGTAGCCAGAAAAGAAATTATGTAACTTTATACACAAATTATAGTGATGCATGTTTACTTTTTTAAATAGAGAACGCCCATATCTGTGAAATTGTTGCTCAAAGTGCTGCCGAACATCATCTGTTTAAACCTTGTTCTTCTTTTAAAACTGAATTTTTCAGTGTACAGTTTAATGGATTCATGTGTGTTATTGTTTTAAACTAATTATTAACATTATGCATGATCATTTTACTTGACTAGCAGTTTGTTTTAAAAGATTAACAGGGTTATTAATGTGTTATTAAATAGAAACAGGCCGTTTTCCTGCTTATTACACAGAACCTAGCGCAGGTAATAGAGTAGTAATAACATAGGAATTAGCACATTATTGCATTCTTGTTACCCTGCAGTTCCCACATCATTAGCTTCAGTTTGTGGACCATTATTATCCAATTGCATCAGTTTCAGTGTAATATTACTCGGCTGTAACTGTAAGTGGTGTGGTTAGCGTCGACGTGTAGTTACATGTCTCAGCAGGTCCACGTCAGGTTGTGGCGTAGGGTTAAAATGGGATACTGATTACAAGTTATGATGTAGTAAGACACGTTTCCCATCTTGTGATGATCTGCAGCTGTAAAGTAAAATGCTTTTGTTTGTTTTTTCCATCATTTAGCATTTTTGGTGTATTGCAGGAGAGACTCTTCATTTTATTGTTTTTAATAACGAACGATTACACTGTTGTGTCCTGTCGATTCCTTCAAGCGGCTCCATGAGGTGGTTCTACCACTGTGTGTGCGCCTGCAGCAGCAGCAGTCTTGCAGCAGCAATGCATGTGAATCTGCAGGGAGCGCGAGTGGGCAGTACAGCAGTGCTCTGACTCGACGAGAACTGTACAGGTACGATCTTCATGTTAGCGATGAGCCACACATTAGTGTTCCAGTAGTGTTACGGTGCTCCTCCTGCTTTTTGTTCAGGTTGAGTTTAAATGTTCCACTGTTGACTGAAGGAATGTCCACACAGTGCTTTATTCAGACTGGACCCAGTCTGACACCACCCTAGCACCAGCACCACTGTGGGCCCCGAACTGGTCTATGTTCTGTAGATGCAAAAGTTCACTTTAGCTTCGTGTTGGACTGAAGGAGCTGTTTCACTTGTATGAATTTGAAGGTTATTGCTGGCCCTGGTCCTGGTCCCCTCACCCTGTTGGCCCCCACCTCTGACCTGTGCTGTGTCAATCCTCAGTAACGGGCGCACCGACAGGTATGCGTGTGGGCCCAAGTGGGATTCCCGAGTATACAGTGTTTTTAGCTTGTGTGTATAATTTGTTCGATAGTCTTTATGGCAATGGGGCCGCGTTCGTTCGGTTGATAATCTAGATCCTGGGTTATGTTCGCAGGCTATAGTCCCTCTAGACTGTTTGGGTTTAAATTTGGGTTTGACAAAGCTGAATTTGCATCTAAAACCGTGTGTTTGGGTTTTGCAGAGCGAGACACGTGCTCTGTATGGTGTGTTGAGTGTGAGGGAGAAGTGTCTCCCAGAGCAGAGTGAAGCAGACTGACAGAAGAAGGAGGGGCAGGCAGCCCGACTCAGAGGGGAGGAGCTGAGTGAGGTGGAGGAGCTGGGAGAGGCAGTCTGTGTGACCGCAGGGGAAAGTGTCTAAAACAGAGAGCAAAACAACAGGGGTAAAAAACTACAGCAGAACAGGAGGAATTGGGAAAGAAGGCACAGGATTATTTAAATTAGCAACAAGGGGAAATGTGTTTAAAATTAGAGAAGCAGAGTGTCAAATAATTAGGGATGAAATGATATTAAATAAATCTTTTAATACAGGTGACCACGGACCTGGTCCTCCACAAGCACATCGGCCAGAGTAAAATGATAGATTAACATAATTGGAACCACAAAGAGGCCACGTTTGGCTGAAAATTTCACATCTCCACCTCCACGTAGAAGCTTCGAGGACGGTCAATCTCTCCCTGAAGACTAAAGTGCATTAAAATTGAGTTGAAAGGTACGGCTGATGGACTTGTGGAGGTTGAGAAAGTGTCCAGACTATCGCAATAAAAAGACAGGACATACACACACACTCAAACAGAGAGACATCAAATGCTTTTTGTAGAGAAATTTGAATCCACAGCTCCACGGCATACGCAGACATTGAACTGCCTACTAACCCACACATGCAATAAAATCAGCTTGTGCTTATGAACACGTCAATTCTTTTCAGCAATATTAAAGCAGGGAAACTTAACACACACTAAATGCTGAGTTTATCCACTGCTGACAAACAACCTCTCCGGGCTGCAGGACAACAGCTTAACTTTCACAAAGCAAGAGACTGGAATGACCAACCAGTGATGAAACAATAAATTTAGTGGTTAGGATTATGAGATGTTTTCTGCTGATTGAGCAACACAAGTGATTACTGTATGAAGAAAATTCTATTTTGGTAATATTTAAATTATGCATTTCCGTTGTCCTGTGAACTTGGTGAGGTATGAGTTGGTTATATTCTTTTTTTTAAAAATAACAAGGGAGGAGAGAAGGCTGACACAGGGCCCGGCAGCTGGACCCACAACAATAACCTGAAAATGTCAACGGTGCTGCAGGAAAGCGATCTCACACAGACGGAGATCGCTAAACCAAAGGCCAGTTTCACAACACGGGGGAAATTCCCAGTGAATGACGCCCATTAAACCCGGATGAAAAGTGAGGCCGAGCAAAAGAATGCTGACCTTGATAACTCTGCATTAACACTGTGCAGGGCAGTGACGGACATCAGATCTACAAACTGAGCCTACAAACATCCAGATGGTGAATTAGAGCACACAATCTGCCTTAGATTAAATTCTGACTCTCACCAAAGGCAATACAACTTTCAGGAGGAGGAAGGAGTAACACATCTATACAGACTCATCAGACCTGACAAATGAATGCTCTAACAGGGGAGTCATTACCATCATTTGACAGACGATGACATTAAAACAAAAGGCAGGAGCCTACAAGATCAGTGAGATGGAGAAATAAACAACACAGAATAGTGGACGCTGGAAAGTATGTGGCGAGAGATCAAGTTGCCCTAACAAAACCTGGTCAACTATCGTTAAAACAACCACATGGTCCTTCACATGAGAGCAGAAACAGACTCAGAAGAACATGGAAGGCCTGTACGTTGCACCCACACATGGAAGAGATGCGGAAAACTGTGAGGGAATGCAACACCTGTGACACCCTGCAGAGAAAAGACGCAAACCCAGTCATGAAATGGCACATTTGACAGTCCAGACTAGGATGGCGTTGGACATCCACTTCTCTTCTTCTTCTTGTCCTTTAGTGGGCAACCAGCGGCGGTGGTCGGCCACGCAACCAGTACGCTGCTGTAGGTGCCGCAGGTTCTCTTGCTTGACCAACGATTATCTTCCATGCTTTTCGATCTAAGGCGATGGTTCTTGCCTGCTCGAGGTCAAGTCGAAGGGCCTTCAAATCATCCTGGATTTGTTTCATCCATGTCTTTTTTGGTGCATTTCGATGCACCCTCCAATCGGTGGGGCGGGTCAACCAGAGTAGGCCATGGGGTAGCGGCTCTGGTCCATTCAACAAATGTGGCCAAACCAACGGAGTCGGCGGCGCTGGATTAGGTCGCCGATCGTCGGTTGGCTGCCGCAGCTGGTGAGGATGGTGTCATTCGAATGACGGTCGCGAAGGGAAACGCAGAGAACGCATCTAAGGCAACGCATTTAAAGTAGAATGATCAGGGTTCGGTAAAGGCGGATCTTTGTCGCCAATGAGATGTTGTTCTTCTTCCAAACGCACCAGCGCAGGGAAGCGAACGCTGCCGCCGCCTGCCCACTTCTGGTGCGTATCTCCACTGATGATGCCACTTTCTTCTCCTCGACAAGGGACCCCAGATATTTAAATTGTTGGACTTGTTTGATCTGCACACCGTCGAGGTGGACGATTGCTGGTGAGCTGTTGGTGGTCAGGACTTTGGTCTTCTCGGCGTTAATCTTGAGGCCGTACGATGTGGAAGTGAGTCGCCTCGGTGTCATCTTCGGCAAAAATGGCGCTAACGTCAGTTGGACATCCTCAGGGTGGAAAAAGGGTTGGTGTGACCAAGGTGTGGTCTGGCTTGTTGTATGTACATTTCAAAATGATACAGCTCTGGATGGGCCAGTTACCAGGGCATGGAAGGATGACAGACAAATGAGGAGAAGGAATTTTCCTCTGGGTGAGTGGTTGACTGAAGCATGCAGAAAATAAAACTATTATTTTATCATTGACTGGTAACTGATTGATAATTGACCACATTCACACCTATATGGACTTGTTGTGGACGCGGTCTATTTCATATAGAGGACTCTATCTGACAGATTGAAAAACAGTGACTAAGAAAAGAACATGCAGTGCTGCACTATCAGATGCCAGTGACGGTGGGGCTCAGTGATGAATCAGCTGAGCTGGACTCATGGCTGAATCAGGACATAAATCCCCTGCTGTGATCAGTGAGGGAAGGACAGTGGGGGAAAACAGAGTTGCAAATGTGAAGTTCATGTTAACACACGGGTTTTGTTTGCAGGCAGTTCTGCGGATGCAGGCTCTGGGCGGAGCCAGGAGTTCAACAGGTTTAGGATGATAACTAAATTGATTTAACACAGGGTAGCAGAGCTGGAGCAACGACACTCGAGAGGAGAATTTCTGATGTTTTGTGAAAGATGATGTTACGAATGTTTTCTTTTAATTTACTAGTTCCGATGAATTGACACATGGAAGTGTGTCAAAAAAGGGGGAATTTCATGTTTAACATGACACAGTTTTTCCTGGGATCATTTTTGTGACTTTATTTGTGTGTTTAACAATTTTGATCACACTTGCCTGAGAAAAAGTAGATAAGAGGGGACCATCTCTAGTGGAAAGTTACTGAGACACTGTTGTTTAGACTAGAATGAGAGAGCTTCTGTAATAAAACTGTTACACCACCATTTTGAGATCCGCGGCAGTGTGTCATGCAGGACGCATCTCCCTTCTAGAAATAATGTGAAATAGTCGGGCTATATAAATGTGAAATAAAGTGTTAAATGGTCTGCTGAGCAGTGTTTTTGCCTTTCACAGGACCAGCAGATTTAAGGAAAGAGGGAAAAAATGGAGACAGGAAATGATGTCATGAAGAGCAACAGCAGGTGGTGCAGCATGAAGAATAAAAAGGTTTATCAGTGTAATCAAGGCCACTGATATCCATGACACGCTTCATGGAAACAAAGTTGTTGCTTTCAGCAGTGTCCTGTTGAGAAAGTAGGTCAGAGTAGAAAGACAGACGCCCTCTACTGGTAAGATCAAACTTTCCCTTCATAAAGTAAACAGCTGGGGCTGGATCAGGTGACCCTGATTATGCTGCAGTGGCCTTATATACAAAATATACATGAATTTCTCACAAAAAGCCTGATTTTCTAATGTGATCGTCACAGTCTGAGCTCCAGATTATCTCAGCAGCTCAGTCATATATTTGTACAAATGCACATGAAGTATTACTACACAGTCTCTGTTAGAAATGTGTTTTTCTCCTATATATGATAAATAAAGAGAGTATTACAAGGAAACTGAAGCTTTCTGTCTGTATCAGCAGGAATCAGCAGCTGAGCCTGCAGAGGACGCCAGCGTGAGCGATAACCAGCTGCCCAGCTGTGAGGACGAACCGCTCGAAGCTCTTCAAGCAGGAGACTTGACAGCAGTGGCAGACTCTGAAAACGCAACAGAAAAAATAAAGAACAAAACTAAAGAGGACGTGACAGACGTCCAATAGGAATAAAGAGAAAGCTTGATGTAAATATTAGCCTGTAGAAGGCAAACCAGTAGTGACCCTTGGTGACTGCTTAGATATTGTTATTTCAATAATAATTTGTTTCTTTGTTTAATGCAGTTTGATGAAAAGTTCAAATACAGTGTAAAAGTAGTGAGCCTCGCCTCGTTTCTTTCCATTTTCCAAGGAGTCAAACTTTTCTTTTCTTTTTTTAATCTTTTTCCTTTGGCTGCTTTTTCTCTCACTCTTCAGTTTAGACCTTCTACCCGATAATTTCCTGAGGAATCTGGTTTATTTACTTGGCCACATAACATTGACTAAGAATTCATTCAAGCCTCAAAAAGCTCCATACTCCAGGGATGAATCAGTTATTGAAACCGTAGCCTCCTTTGATGCGGGCTCACTTGTGTACAGCTGCAGCAGTGGAGACTGTCAGGAAACTGAACCAGGGAGTGGAAGTAGGGCTCTTGGCTCCTTCATAGTGAGAGCACTAAGCCACAGGCACAGATATGTGGATAACACCTGGGTCAAAATCAACATGCAAGACGTAAAAGTTCACATCAACTTTGTTCTTCTGCTGTTTTAAAAAAAAGTAACAAAGTCGAAAAACTCCAGTTTTCACTGATTTCTTTGTCTTTTTTCATTTTCAGTATGTTTCTTATTCTTATTATTCCAACACATCTGCCTTCAACCTTTAGGAAGCACACAGTGTCTGATGTTTTATTTTAATTTCACTAAAACATTCTAATAAATAATTTCTAAAAATTGCTGTAACTGAAAGTGTGAAAGACTTCAGGGCTGGGCTGATGCTTCAAGATCCTAACGACGTCCCTGATGTGTGATCAGGCTGCTGCTGTTACCTCAGTGAACTGTTGTCTTCTTTGGAAATCACAAACTGACATAACTGCAACTTCACAATGCTGAACTTAGCAAAGTGTGTGGAAAAACCCCAGAACAAGACAGACGGATGTTTTCCTCGCAGCTGTTTGGAGATGATTAAAATATTCTGCAGCAGCTCCTTTTTCAGCGTCTGCCAACAGCTTCAAATATTTAGCAGCATGATATCAACTATTTAGATTGTCTGCAGTAGATACTACACCCTCAATACCCAAGAATCACCTTCAGCAACTGGAAACAGCTGTGAAAGCTTTGTCGACAGCTTACACTGTTACTAAAACTGGAAGATTTAATGGAAAGTTACCATATTGTGTACATTTCAGCAACTGTGTACAAGTGGTGAAAAAAATAGTTATCAGTTACTTTGATTGCTTCATTGCACATTTTGCTGTCAGTGTTTGTGTCCAGTTGTTCCCTGAAGGATCAGTGCACATCAGGACTCTATACAACAAGTAGGCCTGCAGTGTGAGAGCGAAGTGCTCTAATAGGGTGATATGGTACTACAAGGTCATTAAGATAAGATGGGGCCTGATTATTTAAGACCTTGTATGTGAGGAGCAGGATTTTGAATTCTGGATTTAACAGGAAGCCAATGAATGCTGCAGTGGCCTTATATGCAATATATACATGAATTGCTGCAGCATTTTGGATTAACTGAAGGCTTTTCAGTGAGTTTTTTGGACATCCTGATAATAATGAATTACAGTCGTCCAGCCTGGAAGTAATAAATGCATGAACTAGTTTTTCAGCGTCACTCTGAGACAGGATATTTCTAACTTTAGAGATGTTGCACAAATGGAAGAAAGTAGTCTTACATATTTGTTTAATATGTGTGTTGAAGGACATGTCCTGGTCAAAAATGACTCCAAGGTTCCTCACAGCGTTACTGGAGGCCAAGGTAATGCCATCCAGAGTAAGAATCTGCTTAGAGACCATATTTCTATGATTTTTGCTGCTCTGTGTTGGTACAGGGCATTGACGATGATACCAGTGGGTGGATTATATTCTCAGAAAGACATCTACTGTGAAAAGGTCTACTCTCCACTGCTGTGTAATCAATTATTGTAAATGTAAAGGTTATCAGGAAATGATCAGACAGCAGAGGGTTTTCAGGAAACACTGTTAAATGTTCAGTTTCTATGTCATATGTTAAAACAAGATCTAGAGTGTGATGATGTTGAACATCCTTCCTGTGGTATGAGGGAGTGAGTCTCACTATTTTTAAATATACTGACCACAGAAGCAGAAAAGTGCTCGTCTCATGCAGAAAGGCTGAGAGAATAAATGAGTGTAGAGAGAGAGAGCAAATAAAAGGAGCTCTGCAGGCTGCAGATAGTGCAGGAGAGCCAAGCTATGTTGATCTGAGACTGCAGACATTAAAGCGGAGAGATGGTAGCTGATTAAACAAGTGCTACGAGATAATAAAAAAATGCAAAGATTGATGACAGCATAAGGCAACAAAAAAGTGTGAGAAATAAACTTGACTCTGCCTGTGAATCAGTCTTTGCTTCTCTTCCTCCTTCCTCATCTGAGCTACAGCTCTCCACTTGCTGTCCATCTGAGAACAAGGCGCAATTTGCTGTTGCATTAATCTAATATTTAATTGTCCACACTTAAAAACTCTTGCACCTAATCCACAATAAAGTGATGACAGAAAATGTTATAGAAGCATCTTTACGAGGCATGTCTGGACTGTGTTATATCATGAGTAGTAA